CCCCCCCCGCCCCAAATCCTATATGTAAGGTACAAAACCTGCATACAGAGGGAACCCCATAGAGTTCAACTGAAACTTACTGAATTATTCCCCATTGTGCAGATGAAATAGAGGACTATACAGGAAGGTATACACTGTTGTCCTGTTATATCATAACCATGCCCTAGAATATTTTGTACGTAGGATTGCTCCCTTAAGGAGCCCTTTTTAATTATTACAAATTCTAGAAATGATTTTTTTCCATTTACAGGTGGTCCCCGGGTTAAGAACGCCCAGTTTAAGGATGACCCCTAGTCAAGAACGGAGCGTACTGTAGCAAAATTCAAGTTAAATACACAGTGATTCAAGTTAAATACACAGTGGTTCGAGTTCATTACACAATACTATTTATACAGTATTATACAATAATACTGTTCCGGCTTACATACAGATTCAATTTAAGGACAGACATTGGGAACAAACTTGTTCTTAAACTGGGGACTACCTGTAGTTGAGAAGGAACTGGATCTAGAAATAAGCATTAGCTGGTTAATTAGCTATGAGCTAACTCCTAAGCCACAACATTTTGATTTGAATGAGAAGAGAGGAAAAGAGAGGAATCCATTTATTGTGAAAATGTATGTTTTTCTTTCTCTCCTCCCACTCAGGTAGTCCCTATTGTCTTATCTCTCTGCTGTTGATTTTTGTTCTCCTCTTGGTTTATTGCCCTGACATCTTCCTCAATTAATCACATGAGTAACTCCAGTCATTTTGGGTTTTTTTTAATAATAGTTTTATTAAAATTTATGGTTACAAAGATAAAAGACTAATACACACTAAAAAACTATAAAAGAATGAAAAAGGGGGATAGAAAGTATAGAAAAGAGAATATAAAGAAAAATAGAAAGGAAGGAAAAAATAATATAATCAAGAAAAAAGAAAAGAAATATATAAAGAAATGACTTCCCCCTTCTCACAATTACAAACAATTTCAGTAACTCTTCACCTTCTCTAAGAATACTACAAAGAATATCTTCTTCCTGTATCTCATCTCTTATCTATAAACAAATTCTTACAGTCTTGTCATTCAATCCTAGTCAGCAAAAGTCCATTAAGGCTTACCAGAAAACAACATATATATTTTAAGCTTAATCAAATAAACCAATTTTATATTCCTTCCCTTTACTTTAACACAGTAACTTATTACTTTCTCTAAAAGTACAACAAATCTCTTTTTCCAAATCTTCAAAGCCTTGTCATTTGGTCCTGGTCAGCAAAAATACATTAAGAGTTACCAGAAACAACAACATATATATTTTAACCTTGATCAAATAAACCAACTTTATACTTCTTCCCTTTGATTTTAACAATCTTGATCTTTAATCCCTTTAAATAATGCCCAAGAACCTGTTCTCTTTTCATTTTCTCTTTGTGTCTACCCCGAAAATCCTTCAAAACTTTAACAAGTCTCTTTTGTGAATCCAAAATAAGAAAATTATCCGTCACCATTCTGGCTTGTTATTTGTATATCCCTTTTAATCCTTAAGACATCAGCTGGTTTCATTTGTATATCCAGTATAATATCTTTTTCCATATCATTCTTGTTTATTTATTTATTTATTTATTTAATTAATTTATATGCTGCCCATCTCCCCCAGACTTATAACTTGTCATTTTTAAATCCACACCTGAGTCAGCCTCAGTCTCAGTCTTATCCAGTAAAACTTGTTCCTCTTCTATAAACTCTTTTAAATCCAGTTTATCTATGATAGCAGATAATCTTAAGATTAACTTCTGAGTCCATTGTTCCCAAATATCCTTGAATTCATCCAAAGTTAAAGTATTTTGCTCTATTCTATATTAGTAAATTGAATTTAAGTGTTCTTCTTTAATTATAATCCTTAGTTCTTTCTGGTTTCCTCTAGTGTCCAACCTTCAAAATCCCATCTTAACATTTTTTTTTTCTAAACAATAGCA